AAACTTCAAAAACCAAATCCCCTTAATAAAGGGATTTGTTCTGTAAAACTTGGACTCAGTCAAAAGGCTACGAATCACGTGTGGCCTTGAGGCCACAGGACGCCCACCCCTGTATCTGGGCATGCCCACCAAGCCACGCAATGCTGCCTGGACACACTCTCTCATCTCTGCCTCTTTCTCTAAGGCTCAAGCCAAGGGCCGCTCCTTTCACAGAGCCTTCCTTGATACCCCCAGTTGTTACTGCTTTCATATGCCTCAATTTTCTTTATGCTTTATTTATTTGCTTATATGTTGCAGCCGTCAGTAGAATATAAATTCCTTGAGGGGATGGACTATATCATTTAATTTTATCCTCTGAACTTAACATGCCTTGCACATAAGACAATGTCCCCAAGTTTAGGTGCTTAGTAAATATTTGTTAAATTGAATTGAATTTAGTTTCTCATATTTTGTTTCCCACCTCCCCTACACACACACACACACACACACACACACACACACACAACCCAAACACCTCTAAAGCCCATAAGAGGAAGAATCTGTCATTGGTCTAGTATATGTAATATGTATGTTTCTTGGCATAGTTCCCTACTTAATAATGGCTAACACTTATACAGTGTTTTAAGGTTTGCAAAACACTTTATAAATACTATCGCAATTCATCCTCAACAACTCTGAAATTGTAGGTGCTTTTATTATTCCTATTTTACAGATGAGGAAACTGAGGCAAACACGGTTAAGTGACTTGCCCAGGGTCACACAGCTAGCAAGTGTCTGAGCCTGGATTTGAACTCACATCTTCCTCACTTCAGGCCCAGTGCTCTAGTTACTGCATCACTTAATGACCAAATTCTCAACAAACAGAAACTTCATCAATAGCACTGTTTTCTAAGCAATCTGCCTGAAGGACAGCTTAGTAAAGTGAGCCTGACAGGGATATCAATTGGTGACCTCGTGGATCTGTTCAGATGAATGCTTTTCGTCTCCATCCTTGACCTTTTCCCTTCATTCCAGATCCAAATCTCCTTCTACTGAACAGGACACATCTCCCCTGGGTACTCAAACACCGCACATCCACAGCCAAACTCCACCTTGTCCTTAAAAGCTCCTGATTCCACAATTTCTGTGGCAGCTCTTCATTATTTATCCAGTCCCCTCTTCTCCAAACCTTGGTATTGTCTTTGAACTTGGCTTCTTAATAACTTCTCCCATCCACTGTATTCCCAAGTCCCACAGTCTCTATCTCCACACCGTTTTTTGCAGCTGTTCCCTCCCGTCCATTTCCACATTTACCACCCACCCCAGTGCAGTGCCACCTCCCCACAGTATCACAAGGGCCTCCTAATAGATTTCCCACTTCTGCTCTTTTCTGCTCTAAGCCATCCTTCACACCACTGTCAAGCTGTTTCTGATCATCTGTTCACCAAATAAAATACAGCCTCCTTACGCTGACCTTCAAGGCCCTTCATAACAATGGCGCCACTCAACTTTTTTGCCCTTGTCTTCTACAACTCTTTTTTGCACACTTGACTTTCTAGCCAAACTGGTTGGTTTATTCTCCCCCTTTTATCATCAAGTTGTTTCCAAAATCCAGTATCCTCCTCCCCCTATTTAGTTTCTACCTATTCCTAATTAAATACTACTTCCTCTATGAAACCTTGGGATTGTATTATTCAATGAAGACCATTCCTTGCTTGGACTTCATGTGTTAATACCTCTTTTTTGCACTTACCACGTTTTAAAGTTATTTTTGTTTGTATCATAACCCACTAGACTGCAAGCTCCCTGAGGGTGCTCTAAATTTTCTGTCTTTTCCTACTCTTACTCAGCACAGTTGACATTGAATAATATCTGATGAACTGAATCAGTATTTTATGCTACCTGTAGTACTAGTGAGAAGGCCCTAATTTCTCTGTCATTACTATAAGAAAAAAGAACCAGAAAAGAACCATCCTCAATTACAGATGCTATATAGGCAGTTGGGTGGCATAATAGAGAGAATCTGGCATTTGGAGACAGGAAGTCCTGGGTCTGAATCCTGCCCTCAGAAACTAATTAGCTTGTATGACCCCGGGCAAATCACAATCTCTGCCTCAGTTTCGTCATCTGTAAAATTGGGATAATAATAGCACCAACCTCACATAATTGTTGAGGGGGCTCAAAAACAGGATAATCTACGTAAAGTATTCTGCAAGCCTTATAGTGCTACAGAAATAGGTGAACTACTATGATGATGATGATGATGATGATGGTGGTGGAAAACTCCAACTCATTTCTTCTTGTCTTTAGTATGATTTAAATGATTTTGGAGGGAAGGGGCAACAGATTTGCCTACTTGACAATGTCAGAATAAAGTCTTAATCACAGATTGTTAGAAAAAGAAAGACCACAGAGATAATTTAGCCCAATCCTAACTCCTGAGCTAAAATTTGTATATCGCTGTAAGGTTTGCAAAGAAACTGTTTCAGAGTAAACTGGGAAGCCCTCTACCCACTGATGCAAAGCAGAGTAAGCACAAAGAGGAAGACAACTTAATCAATAACCATACTGTAAAAACAAGACCTCTGATTGATGCACTTGTCAATCATGACTCCAAGGGGCTAGGAATGAAGGCTGCCACCAGCCTCCTGACACAGATGATGGACTCACAGTGGAGAATGAAACATATGTTGTTTGCACATGACCAATGAGACAACTTGTTTTGCTTGACTATATGTATTTGCTACAAGGGTCTGGACTTTTCTTTTTTTAATGGTGGGAGGCAATGAAAATTGAGTTTTAGTAATTAAAAAAAAAAAAAGAAAGAAGCTTGCCTGGGATTCAGAATGTGTTATAGATCAAGATCAGCCTTAGCCACAGTGAACTACATGATATATTATTTTTTACGGTTTGACTGCCCAAGAGAGACATAGTCTGGTTAATACCTGAGATACTTTCCATCAAAATTTCATCTCTTTGGCTTTAGACTTTGATCTCAGTTAAAATGCAAATCCCACTGGCAAGGTTCACAGTCTAAGCTGTTACCAGTCACTTTCATTTTATAACTTCTAGTGTGAATGAAATATCTGGAGAAAAACTTGGATGGGAAAGGGAGGAAAAAGCCTAGTAGGGGCTATGGGGTAGACGTCCCAAAGGGAGAAAAAGGGCAGCAAGGCTCAACACAAACTCTCCACTTTCCTGGTCTTGCCGCCTGGCCCCCTGAAGTGGCTGGAAGCACTGATTCTAACTACAGATGTACGCTGCCCCAGAATTCTGGGATGCCTAATAAGGAGGCAGGAAGACCAGGGAGCTTGAATACTCCCTGGCTGTCTGGCCTTGCCTGGTCCTTGACCCTTGGCCGAGCCTGCACCCTGGTTGCCTGAATGTGACCTGATGATTCTGCTCGAACAAATACTGCTATTCATACCTGAGCTGGTTATAGACCTCATTCTGTTTTCTGGTTTCCCCAGAAGTGGCACTGGCCATTTCCCAGGGAAGCCAAATGATGCCCAGAGCCTAGTTTGGGACAGTAGGCCCCCTAGGGGAAAGGAAGGTCAGTCTGGACCAAACTGAAGAGTTCTGAGGCCCAGGAAAAACCCCTGGGACACAATAGCCCTGAGAAGCAGGGGTCTGGTGAGCCCTTTGGGAAAAAAACAGAAAATGCTATATGAGATGTGTTGAATAATTAAGGACATTAAAAAATGCATCACCAAATGTTTATCATTAGCTGAACTGGCAAGAGAAATAAATACAGGCTGTTTCACAAAGAGCTAAAAATAAATCAGTCTCAGGTATCTGTCTCTATGTTCCCCAAAGCGGAATACTATTCCATAGATGGAGCCAAGCAAGAATGGAGAGTGAGAGGTTGGCCTAGAAACAACCCTAGACTAGAAGAAGGGTCACATCAGAAGTGAAAGACAATGGTCAAAATGAGGAAAGAAGTAGAGAGAGAAAGAGTGACAGAGATGAGGTGACACAGAGAAAGAGGGAATTACAGAACAGGTGACAAAGAAACCAGAGACAGAGATTAAGAGTAAGAGAAGGAGACAGATGAAGTGACAAAGAACAACTGAGATAGAGCAAGGGATAGAGAGGGAAGAACATAGGGATGGAGGGGGGAGGGGAGAGACAGATACAGAGATGGAGGGGGAGGGGAGACAGTAATGGAGGGACCGAAAGAGGGAAGGATATACAGAGATGGAGGGGGAAAGGAGACAGTAACGGAGGGACCGAAAGAGGGAAGGATATAGGGATGGAGAGGGGGGAGAGACAGAGATGGAAAGAGGGACAGAAAGAGGGAGGGACATAGGGATGGATATAGGGATGGAGAGTATATTCCACTTGGCCCCCCAACTGTACAGATAAGAAAATGAGGCACAGAGAGATAAGTGACCTGCCTATGATCACAAGGCACTAGAGGTCAGTGATTCACAGCTTCAGAGTTCAGACACAGTTAAATCACCTTGGCCCTTCAAGGATGGGTTCCTTCCAACCCTGGTCTTCTATCTTGGAAAAGCTAACCAAGGGTGATGAGTGATTCAGCCTGCCTGCCCCTCCTGTACTAACAGCTCACCTAATCAGCCTGGAAAAGTCAGAAGGATTTGTCTATTTGAGCAGGGGGGCGGATGGCGGAGCATGGACCGCAGTGAGCCCCACACTTGCTAAGAGAAGATAATCAGCAGATGAAATGCCAGTGCCTAGCTCCAAAGATTTATCCCTGATCCCAGGAGTGGGGGCCTCTCAATTCAGCATCCCAAGATTAAGGAAGAGCCTTCCAGCGGAACAAGGGCCTAAGCTAAGAAGCAGATCCGCAGGTTTGCCTGGGAGGAGGATTGTTGCCAGGTCACTATGTTCCCCTGAGACTCTGGGAAAAAGCCAAGCTAAAGACGTAGGGTGAGAGCATAAACAAATGCTTAATATGGTCTCTTGCCATCTCTTGAGAGACAGGGACCTGAAATGCCCTGGAAGAGGGGGTGGACCAAAGCCCATGGGCCCAGAAACCACAAATCACAACAACCTACCTGTCTGATAATGGCCAGCTGCAGAGAGACATAGAGAATGATCTGATGGTCATTGGGGGCCAGGCTCTCAGCTCTGTATGGGAAGAACAGAACATATCAAATCAATTCACAAGTATGTATGAAATGTCTCCTACCTACTTAATCCCATTCTAGGCACTGTAAGGAGTCTGCCTGGTCCCTGCCCTCCAGGAGTTCAGAATCCACTTGAGAAGGCATGAAGCAAAGAGAGGAAAACACAAGAGAGAATATGATCAATTAACTGCAGAGTGGAACATGACTGACTGGATATCAATGCAGTAGGGATTGTAAGAAGGGCAATCAGCATGGACTGGGGACTTGGGAAGAGGGCGGGCCCTTAAGGACAGGTAAAATACAGAGAGAGAGAGAGAGAGAGAGAGAGAGAGAGAGAGAAGGCCCCAGGGCTCTGAGCTAGGTCCCTGAGTAGCTCCTGACAGAAGACAAGCTGAACTCCATCCATCTCCACCCCCAGGCCCTGCCCGCTGAGCTGCCTGCTGGCCTCCCCACCTCCCTCCTTGTAGACGGAGCCCAGAGCCAGGTTCCTCTGCAGAGCAGATGTTTCCAACTTGGTTCAGGCTAGGGGCCAGGGAATGATGAAGCCGGCACCTGTGCCTTCAAGTGCCCAGCAAGCCCAGCTGCAGGAGGGGGATTATAAGCAATGGAAAAAGCCCATTCCAGGAAGCTGAGAGGGGGCGGATAGACCAGATTATTGACCTCGGGGACAGTTCCCTGACCCTTTCTGATCTCCAGCTGGGCTGTTAGGGACAAGAACGTTTCCGGCAGCCTGGGATGGACTGAGGAGTCAAGGATAACAGGGAGGATAAGTGGCTATTTGCTTGGCCCCTGGGTGGCTTGTTCCAAGTAAACAGCAAAACCAAACTGTCTATAAGCTCAACCTTCCCAACAGTGTGAAGGAGGTCTTGGGGCCTGAAGTCTTCCACCCCCTGTCATCAGATCCCAGCATCTGATGGGGAGGCGAGAAAACAGGAGACAGAATAATAGGGATGAGAAAAGCAGGGGCAGTGGGGGGGGTGGAGAAGAGATGACAGTAAGGGGCAAAAAAGGGAGAGGAAGAAGGAGGATACACAGAGGGCAATGGGATCACCACTTTAGTGCCTGAAGGAACCGAAGAAATCAAGTTCAACAGTATGATTCTACAGATGAGGAAGCAACTCAAGGCACTGACCTGCCCAGGGTCACCAGACTGTAAGAGAGCAAGGTCAGAATGCAGTTCTCTGACTACAGATTCAGGACTTATTCAGTCCTTACAATGCCCTAGGAGGCAAGTGGAGATGTTAGTATCTCCACTTTATAAATAATGAAGCTGAGGCCCAGAGGGCTGAGGTGAATTTCCCAAGGTTACACAGCTACTTAGTGGCAGATCCAGAACTCAGATCCCCTGACTCCCAGTCCAATACTCTCCCCATGGTACCATCCTACCACCCTAATGTTCTATTTCCCATCCACTAAGGCCTGGGCTCCCCTCCCCATCAAAGCAAGGTCCCAACCCAGATCTACACCCCCCCCAGAAGGGAGCAAGGCCAGAGGCCAAACCCCATGAGGTAACACAGAAGAGAAAAGGACTGACATGAAGCAATATTGAGCACAGCAGCCCTGGGCAACCTGTCAAAGCCCCAAACCACCAACTAGGTGGGGCGGGGCCAGGCCAGGCTATCTCTCCTCATCTCCATCTCCTCCTCCTCCGTCCAGGTGGCAGTGGAGACCTGCCTGACAGGTCTCTGCAGTGTCCCCCAAACAAGCCCTGCTTGTCCTCACCTCAGTTCCTCCTCCTCCCTGGTGAGAGAGAGAGACAGAGAGAGAGAGAGAGAGAGAGAGAGAGACAGAGAGAGAGAGAGAGTATGTGTGTGTGTGTGTGTGTATGTGAGAGATGGGCTCTGCTGCAGCACAGGCTAAATAATTAAGGTGGGAAGGAAAGAACGGAGGAGATGGGAAAAGTGAGAGGGGAAGGGAGGGACGCAGGGACACAGACAGAAAGGGAATTTTAACAACTATTCCTCTCCCCACATCCCTGCTGCCAGCAAAGGAGGAGGACAAATAAATCATCTAGCTTCATCCTCCCTCTAACCCTGGCCTGCTAAGGCAACACCTCATGGTTAGGGGCAGGAGTGAGATGGCTGTATTAGCCTCCACGTGGCTCCTGGGTGGCCCAGGACATCCAGGTTAGACATCAGAAACAGAAAGATAGTTATTTCTATTGTCTGATTTACTGGCCACAATGTCTACCTTCTCTTCTCCCTAAGATTGCCCCACCCCCACCAAGCTTTCCAAGATCATGGGGACCAGTCATGTAAAATTGTATCCGCCCCACGCTGCAGCCTGGACTAATGTGTTTAAGAATTAGTGTGCTGCTGGGGCAGCTAGGTGGTGAAATGGATAGAGCACTGGCCCTGGAGTCAGCAGGACCTGAGTTTAAATCCAGCCTCTGACACTTGATACTTACTAGCCGTGTGACCCTGGGCAAGTCACTTAACCCCAACTGCCTCACCAAAAAAAAAAAATTTTGGTGTGTGTCTGGGGCTAAATGCCTAGTCACAAACTCATTGTGTGACCTCGAGCAAATCAGTTTACCTCTGTTTCAGTTTCCCCAACTGTAAAATGGTGATGATAATACTTGCCCAACGTAAGTCCCAGCAGTATCATGAGGATCAGATAAGAGCTTTGAAAAGATACAAGGTCCTCCCTTCCCTTTGCTGAGCTGGGGAATTACAGGTGGGAAAGAAAGAGTACATTGTCCTACTCAGCTGATATGTTGACTGTCTTTCCTGAACCGCTTTTTCTCTTTTTAACTCTTTATTATAAAGGGATGACCCACAGGGCTGTGGAGGTGGAAGAGATATATTTGGAAATGAAGATAATTTAAGAAAAAAAGACAGAACAAAAAAATGTTTTAAAAAGGGTCTTGAACAAATTTTTTTTTTAAGTATGAAGAGCTATAGCAACATAAGGCATGACTAATGATTAAAAAACAAATCTAGGGCAGTGGTTCTCAAACTGGTCTCAGGACCCTTTTACACTCTTAAACATTACTAGGGACCCTAAAGAGCTTTTGTTTATGTGAGCTGTATCTATTAACTGTATTAGAAATTAAAATGTTTTAGTATTATTGTGAAAACAGTTTTGACCTCACAGATCTTAGCATCCTTCGATCACACTAGTCTAGGAGAAGGGGCAAATGACACAGCATTTGTAAAGTGCTTGGCCTGGCACCTGGTCCGTGCTCAACTAATGTTTGTTTCTCCCGCTCCCTCTCTAGGCCCTTACCTCTCCAGTGTCTCCAGGGCTTTCTTGTTCAATTCATCTTGTGTGGATTTCAGTGTTGCTACAGGAGAGAAGCATGAAATACAACCATGAGTGACCCGTTCCATGGGCTGTTGAGTCAGCTCCTGTTCCCATCCTGAGTAGTCCTCCAACATGGAACACAACTTGAGTTCTTTTTGGGCCTGGCAATCTCATTCAGGAGGGCCAAGAACCATGGAGACATTAGCAAAAGCCACATGTTGCCAACTCCTCCACTCCTGCTGGTGAATTCCCATGCCTAGGAGCTTCCTAGCGAACGGGACTGCAAGGTCTCTCACCAGAATGACTGGGATATTGCTGCCCACTTCCCTCTCACGCCAACCCTATCCCACGATGCTTCCCGGTGCTCTGCTCCAGCTACTACCCAAACCATATCATCTTTCAAGGCCCCACTCAATTCTCCCCACTGAGAAGTCTTCCCTGACTACTTACTCAGCCTATGCTGAGCTCTCCCTCCTCTCAGCCCTTACAACAAGAATCTGACAAGGCCCAGAGATGTGAAGTAACTTGCCCAGGGTCGCACCACTAATAAGCATGTGAGGCAGAATTTGAACCTGGGTTCCCCCTAAGTCTAGTATATCAACACATCGTCTCAGACTGAGATTACACACTTCATCCCATTCTGTTCCAAACTGTTCTCTCATTGTTTCCAGTTCTGTCTTATGCAGCCAAATGGACCCCACTCTTTCTCTTGTTTCTCTCTGCCCCCCATCCCCCACCCCCATCACCAAGTAGATGGTTGGGTTCAGAGAGGGGTTCAGCAAATACTCCTGACTGAACAGCCTCCTGCACGTCTCCCAACCCACGGGCTGTCCTCCACGCATAGCTCAGTGCCTGGCACACAGCAGACACTTCACAAGCCCTTGTCCCCCATCCACCCCCTTGTATCTCTATGGCTCAGCTCAGTGCCTGGCATATCGTTGGTGCTTAATGCTTACTGACTTGACTTAGTTTTCATTAATTGCTTAGGCAGTGAGTGTTTCACTCCAGTTATAACCTGGCCAGAGAAAGAGCTGAGTCCCAGAGAAATAAAAGCCAAAAGAAAATGAACTCAGGTTCTGTTAACCCACAACTCTCCAAATCCTGGGGTTAATGTTAGGATGCTAGGGTGTTTCAAACTGAGACCTCTCATAGATGGGGGTGAAGGAGGATTCCGAAAAGGTTAAAATGCAAAATGAATGTAAATCAAATCTTACTTAAAAAGAATTAGGGAAGCTTGTTATCTAAAGGGATTTGTCTCTGAATCCCATCAAATATATCATCCTTTTTTTGTAAAATGAATAATCTCCTCATAGGATTTAGTGGCAAAAGGGCCCTTCTATCATTATTTGTTAACTGAGATGGTCTTACAAATGGAGTCTATGTAAAGCAAGGTTTATCTGTGTACTCTGGACAAGGGATAATTGGCGAAGAAATGATCATCCTTTAACGACAACTAGGGAACCAGGAGACCCTAGCATTGTACTAGGTGCTATGTTCTTTTTCTTTCTATCTTTATCCTTTACTGAGAAGTGCAGGACTGGTACACAGAGAGCAAGAAAGATACTGACCCTGAAAGCATGAGACCGTAAAGGCAGAGGTCACTGAGACCTGATTAGCTCCCTTCAAATCCACCCAGGCAGGATACAAAACAGAGGTAAGATTTCTGGAGCCACCTTATGATGGTAAGGAAGCCAGCCTGAGGGGACTGGGGAGGAATCTCTAAGCTTAGAATGCAGCCTGGGAGAAGGTGAGGTATTGGGTCAATCAACCAACTAAGTACAAAGAGCTGGACTGGGAGCTGAGAGACCAGATCCAACTCCCAGCTTTGTTAGGAGTCGGTGAGTTCCCGGAAAGCAGACCACTCATCCCACTTGTCGGGCCAGAGCCCCGAGGGTGGAGATTTCTGCCACCACCTGCTCACTTACCATCTGTTGCCTGGAGGCTGTAGGTGAGACCCAGTGCCAGATAACCTTTAGAGAGGAGCTCCCCGGCTTTGTCCTGTAGGTTGATGACCATCATGGCAAACTGTTCTGCCTCCTCCAGCTGCCAAGAGGAAAAACAAAGGTCTCTGGGTAAGTTGCACCTCAGGCTCCAAACAAAATTTAAGAAAAGAAAGTTAGTGGTCAGGCCATTCATGTTAGCTTAAAATGCTACTCTTGATGAAGTGAGCTCAACTGGAGGGAAAGAAAGAGGAAAGTTAATCTAGTGCAAAAATCATCTGGTTTTGGCTACAAGACGCAGGCAAAGGGATGCACATCATGGGTGTGTACATCCTCTTCCGGTTACTGATTGTTCTGAGCATAGCCTCACCTGCCCCTCAGCTCTTTACCCAAGCCCCAGCCATCAGCCCAAGCACCTCACTGAGCTCCATGAATGATACAGAACCAGAGGATGATGGATTTAGGGCAGAAGGGACTCTTGGAGATCATCAAGTCTAATCCTCCTCATTTTAAGGAAGAGGCTCGTAGGGATCAAGTGACTTGACCAGGGTCACACAGCTAATAAGTATCTGGTGGGATCTGAACCTGGGTCCAGCATACCACCACACTGTCTCCAACTGAGATAAATAAAAGCAGAGAGCCCTTCTCAATCTTAATGCCTAGAATGTTCTGCAGCTAAATGAGGTAGGGAGGCAGAGTAGAAAGTAGACTGCAACTAGGACTGGACTAGGCCAAGTCCGGAGCTCCGAGTTTCTAGTCCCTCACCAGACTCTGCCATCAACGAGCTGTGGAATCCTGGGCAAGCCACTAAAACTGCTCAGGCCTCAGTTTCCTCATCTGTAAAACAAGGATGTTAGATGAAATGGTCCAAGGTCCTTTCCAGCTTTAAAACTTTATGATGTTTGTAAAAACTGAATTATAGTCATGCACAGAAATATACCTAAATGCTAAGAGGATCCCGAAGACTTTAAATGGGTGGGAAGGGCCAGGTGGGAACGATGGGAGGCGGCTTCAAGGAAGGGCAAGCCTTGAGGTGAGAAAGTCAAGCAGGCGGCTTGGGGAAGTGGGATGGCGGGGGAGCAGCTTCAACATGGCCCACGTGAAATAAGACTTGATAAAGAGTCCTCACAATGGCCTTTTCAAGCAGGGTCTCCTTCAACGGATGGAGAATCAGAGAGTGGGAGAGAACCTTAGGACCACGCTTTACCCAAGCAGGATGGAAGGCCTATTGTGAGGACCCGAGACAATCAAGGGACCCCGAGGATCACAGGATTTAGAGGGGGATCGGCCCTCAGAGAACTTTTTCCTTTTTTTTTGGTGAAGCAATTGGGGTTAAGTGACTTGCCCAGGGTCACACAGCTAGTAAGTGTTATGAGTCTGAGGCCGGATTTGAACTTGGGTCTTCCTGACTCCAGGGCCAGTGCTCTATCCATGGTGCCACCTAGCTGCCCCTCTCAGGGAACTTCTAATCCAGCCCCCTTCTCTTACAAAGGAGCAAATCACGTAAGTAACAGAGTGGGGATTTTCTCCTGATGGTTGTTCCTGCTCCAGGACACTGAGGACTGGAGTCCAGCTGGGCCCAAGACCAGCACAACATTACCGAGCAGTCCCCGATTCAGTCCTCCAAGGCTGGAGCCAAATGACATAGCCAGAAATGTTCACAATGTGTGTTCCTGGGGTGTGATAGGACTCCCCTCTGCTATATTTTCCCCTTCCCCTACAACATCATGGGCTGGACGAGTTTCCCCGAAAGTCAAGGAAGTGATCTCCTGTCTGGTCTCTGTTAGGTTGTCACCAAAATCTGCCCACCCAGAATGGCATCAGGCTTAGTGCCTCTTCCCCTTTCTCTACACCTTTCAGGAGAAAAGTAACCCATGCCGTGAGAGAGGGGGCTACTCTGGTGGATAGTGGACCTATGATGCCTGGCAAAGCTAGAAATCCCAGGACCTCTGGGCACCCTTCTCCAAATATCAGGTCTGTCTGGTTGCTCATCTTGGCATGTTTTATCTGGGGAACTTCCTTCTATTCATATCCTTTGCTCCCACCTCCCCCAGGAAAAGGCCAGGATGAGAAAAGGCTGTAAAGGAAGGAAAAGAGCAGGCCTGGATAGCAGGCAGGGAGGCTGGAGATCTCATCAGGACCCAGTAGCCTCTTCACAGTAGGCCAGGCAGCACGTGGGGACAGAGAGCTCTCTGTCCAGGGGAAAATGGCCTGGGGTTGTTTTTGTCCTGGGAGCTGGAGAGCCTGCTCCAGATGGAAGAGGAGAGGGTAAAAACATATGACGCTCACATTTCTGGCATGCTCCCAAGGAATCCCCCACAGTATGGGTGACTGAGTGTCACACACAAGGCATGTCTCTCAAAAACATCAGACAGAATGTAGGACCCCTGCCTTTCTCTCATCTCCTCCCCTCACCAAAGAGAGCAGCAAGCTCCTCCTCCATACTCTGTACAGCCATCGATGCACCAACCCACACATACATTCACCTTCTCCACTCTCATCAACCTCAGAGGTGCTTGTGCCCAGCCCCAATCAGTCCTCAGCTTCCCAAGAGGCAGGGGACGCTGCTAGAGTGGGTCTGGGTCTGTCACTGGAGCTGTCTCTGATCGCTCTCAAAAGCCAAGTGAGACTGATTCTGCCTGAAACATCTATGCACCCCCCACTCAAGACAGGGCTTACATACCAAGACAGCCACATTGCCCCAACACGTGTCTGTCTAATGAGGTTACGGATGCGGCCCAGGGTATTGCACTTGGAGTCAGGAAGACCTGAGTTCAAGTCTCTCCTCAGACATTTACTAGTCGTGTGACCCTGGGCTCACATGATGTATTTAACCTCAAAAACAGGTAACACAGGTAAAAGGAGGATAATAATAGCACTGACTTCCCAGGTTCGTCATGAGGATCAAATGAGCTATGTAAAGTGCTTTGTAAGCCTTAAAATACTAGATAACTACGTTTTATTATTGTTGTTGTTATCATCACTGTTTTATAACAAAGCCCCACCAGAACAAAGAAGTCTGCCTTAACTAGGGCCAGTACACAAAGACACAAATGGCCTTTTACTCTTTGACTAGTAGCAAGAGGAAGAAGCCAGCCTGGAAATCTTTAATTCTCAGACCAATCCTAAGATAGCTATTGGACAGGCCCAGGACAGGGCCAGTCATTCACAAAGGACACTCTGGCCAACACTGGGACCCTGGAAGGCCACCACAGAGCTGTGCACACAGCACAGAAAGGGACTGTACCTCCCCAGCCGAGACGGAGGCAACAAGGTTCCTCCCAGCAATTCAGGCTGTCACCGTGGCTACGGGCCCTGGAAACTCCTACCTCAGCTTCCCACTCCCACCCCACCCCATCCCACAGACAGAACCAGGGCACCCACAGGGAGCTCGGGACCTATACATCACAGAAGAGCTTACATTTGCATGCAGTCTTTTAAGATTTGCAAGGAGGCTTATGGGACATCCCTTATTTTATTTGTCACAACACATACTGACACTTCCCTGAGAAGTAGGTGCTATTTTTACCCCCATTTTACATATGAGGAAACTGAGGACTAGACCCTTAATTATTTTAGATTAGGCCTTTGTTCAAGGTCACAAAGGTAAATAAATGCCTGAGACAGGATTCAAATGAAGGTCTTCCTGCCTCTAAGTGCAGCACCTTGTCTGCCAGGCCATGGCGCCCCTCACCGTCCATACCTCGGGGGTACTCCAGAGGACAGAGGACCTGCAACACTTGACAGGATCCCAAGATCTACAATTGAAAAGGGCCCTTAAAACGCATCTAGTCCAATCCCCTTATATTACAGATACAGAAACTGAGGCTCAGGGCAAGAAGTGACTTTCCACATTCAGAGGCAGCAAACAGCAAAGCTGGGATTGGAGGTCAGGTTTTGTGACTGCCAATATAGTGCTCTTCTCATAACACCAGACTGCCTCTCATCCCTTCTCTGCCCTAGGGACCACCACATGGAGGCACCCACTGGGCCACTATGGGGCCACCATGAGTATGGAGTCATCCATGCTGCCACCACAGGGCAGTCCACCGGCTGAAAAATCCAAAACAGTCTGCAAGAAAGGGAAATAATCACAAATGATAACGACAAAGATAACATGACAAGCATTCCTTGGCTTCAGGTCATTGACAGACCTAATTTAACTTTTTGTTTTCTGAATTCTGGCTGCCCAGGAATGTGTCTCCCAAATTATTTCTATATAATCAAACAGTTTCATGGAAGAGATGGGCTAGGGGCATGGCAGAACAGACAGAGGTGTGGCAGCATCAGCCGAAGGCATTCCAGTATTAGGCACGGCATCTCCTCTCCCATCATATCTTCATGGAAACCAATTAGCAAAACTAGTGTGCCAGGATCACATCAAGCCTTCACTTTTGCCCATATGCACCACAATAAGTACAGCAGCATCATTCTATAGCATGTGTGGCTTTGTAACAACAACTAGAAATAAAGTAGATGTCCATAACACAAACATACTGGAATACGACTGTGAAATCCTATGGGCGAGGAGTACAGAGAAGCCTAGGAAGACTTCAAAGCAGAGGAAACGCCAAGGAAAGAACACACAAAATGGCAACAGCATAAGGGAATGCTGCAACGTCACAAGGACCACGCAGGCCCCAAAGGACGCCACTAGCTCATGCCTTTCCTCTGCAGAGGAGGAACATCGCATATATTCTGCAGATTGTTTTCCTCATCTTTCTCCTTTTCTTTTCAAAAATATTATTTGTTATACAGAAAAGCTCTCTGGAAGAGGAAAGGGAGAGGAATAATGGGAGAAATCCTGATGGTGTCAGAAAGAAAAGATTTTAATAAAAAGTTATTTAAAAAAAGAAAAAAAGGAAAAAATACCCCTGGATCTCCAAGCAACCCCAGGTGTACCTTAATTACACTAATAAACTCACACTAAAAAATTTAAAAGCAGAATTCTATCCTAGGTCTCTAACTCCCAACTCCTGTGCTTATTCATTAGATAGCAAAACTGCTTTCTACCAGTCGTGACATGTCTGTGAGAGAGGATTTTCCCTGTTTTGCAGGAGGAAGCCAAGCCTGGGGAATAGAAGCAGCCACCATGGCTGAAGC